AGTCTCCACCAAAAAACTACTCGACCTACTAAGTGAATTTGGCAAAACAGCAAGACACAAAGTCAACATTCAGAAATCAATGGCATTTTTGTACACCTACAATGAAATATCAGAAAGAAAAACTAGGGGAAAAAATCTCATTTACCGTAACAACATGAAAAATAAAGTACCTAGGAATAAATTTAACCGAGGAGGTAAAAGACCTGTACTCAGAAAATTATAGAACACTGAGGAAATTAAAGAAGATAAAAATAAATGGAAGCATATACTATGTTCATGGATTGGAAGAATTAACATCATTAAAATGTCCATACTACCCAAAGCAATCTACAGATTCAACAAAATTCCTATTAAAATACCAATGGCATATTTCACAGACCTAGAACAAACATTTCAAAAATTTATATGGAACCAAAAAAGACCCCGAATAACCTCAGGAATCTTGAGAAAGAAGAATAAAGTAGGAGGGACCACGCTACCTGATATCAAACTATACTGCAAGGCCACTGTAAAACAGTCTGGTACTGGCATAAGAACAGACACATAGATCAGTGGAACAGAGAACCCAGAAACAAACCTAAGTCTCTTCGGTTAATTAATATTTGGAAAAGGGGGGCATGTGCATCAAATGGAGTAAAGATAGCCTCTTCAATAAAGGGTGGTGGGAGAACTGGATTGATATAAGTAAAAAAATGAAACTAGACCACCAACGTATACCATACACCAGGATAAACTCAAAATGGATAAAAGACTTAAATACAAGTCATGACACCATAAAAGTCCTCAAGGAAAACACAGGCAGGAAAATTTCAGATATCCCACATAGCAATATTTTAGCCGATAAAGGGAAATAAAGGACAAAATAAACAAATGGGACGACATCAAATTAAAAAGCTTTTGCACAGCTAAAGAAACTATCAACAAAATGAAAAGGGAACCAATTGTATGGGAGAACATATTTGCCAATGATACATAGGTCAAGGGTCTGACCTCCAAGATATATAAAGAAATATGACTCAACACCAGGAAGACAAACAATCCAATTAAAATATTGGCAAAGGATCTGAATAGACATTTCTTCAAGGAGGACATACAGAGGGCCCATAGATATATGAAAGGATGCTCAACATCACTAGCCATCAGAGAGATGCATATTAAAACCACAATGAAATACCACCTCGCACCTGTCAAAATGGCCATCATTAAGAAATCAACAAATGAGTGCTGGTGAGGATGTGGAGAAAAGGGAACCCTACTGCACTGTTGATAGGAATGCAGACTGGTGCAGCCACTGTGGAAAACAGTATGGGATTTCCTTAAAAAACTAAAAAGGAACTACATTTTGACTGAGTGATTCCGCTGCTGGAAATATACCCTAACAATCCCAAATCAGCAATTCAAAAGAACTTATGCACCCCTATGTTCATAGCAGTGCTATTTACAACAGCCAAATGCTGGAAACAGCCTAAGTGTCCATCAGTACATGAGTAGATTAAAAAAAACTGGTACATTTACACAATAGAATACTACACAGCAGAGAGAAGGAAGGAACTTCTACCTTATGCAACAGCATGGATGGAACTGGAAAATATTATGCTAAGTGAAATAAACCAGTCGTTCAAAGACAAACACCATATGATCTAACCTGTAAGAGGAATCTAATGAAAAAAATAGAACCACAGGCATGGAAATATGAAACAGACTGAAAGTGACCGGAGAGGGGAGGGAGATAATGGTGGAAAGAAGGGGAAAGGACTAGACAAAGAACATGTGTGAATGACCCACAGACATGGACAACAGTGTGGGAATTGATTGCGGGAGTGGGGCGTGGAATGGATGGAGGAGGGGAAAAGGGGAAAAACTGGGACAATTTTAATAGAATAACAATAAAAAATGATTTAATAATTTAAAAAGGCTAAAAAAAGAAAAAAGAAAAAAGAAAAAAGAAAAAAAGAAAAAGACAATTTTACACTAAGCTCCTGGAGGAGAAAAAAGAGTTGTTTATTTCAGGCCATGGAACACAAGGTGAGCAAACCTATCAAGGACAAGTAAACCAAAACTCAAAACTCAAAAACAAAAACAAACAAACAAACAAAAAGAAAACAGCCCACAAGCAAAATTACTTGCTCAGATATAGAAATACCAAAGAAAGAATGACCAAGTAAAACATTTTGTTGTAATGTAAAAAACAGCAAAATTTATAGTATTTCCTATATAGCAAAGACTATATAAATATTACTTTATTTTTTAAAAAATTGAACCTGGAACTAATAAGTGGTATGAAGTATTATCAATCCTATTTACCGTTTATATGATTTTCTGGTTTTATAGTACTTGATTCTAAAGGGGAAAATTCTTGACCTGCAACTTTTTTAAAAAAGGATGACATGTTTAAGCAATCCAAATCCAACTGTTCTAAAATACACTAAAAGGAATTTAAGAAGCTTCAAAATGAGTTCGTGAAAAAATATTTTAGAAATATAAATGTCATTGGAAGCCGAGTATGGAAAATTCACTCAAAGCCTTAATTCATTAAACTAATGACTGCCCTACACTATGTGCCAGACTGTCAGATTCGAAGAATACAAAGGTAAGCATTAGAACAATAACAATTAGTATCATTTGAAGACTTCCAAAAGCAACATGAGATTCTTAATATACATGCCTTTAAAGAAAATTTTTTTAATCCTAACCTGAGGGTATTTTTATTTTTTCACTACTTTTTAGAGAGAGAGGAAGGAAGAGAGAGAGACGACAATGTGAGAGAAACCTCAACTCATCACCTCCTGCAGATGCTTGGACCAGGGATCATACATCCCCAGAATGGGAATCAAGCCCACAGCCTAGGTATGCACCCTGACCAGGAATCGAATCCGCTTCCTGTTACCAGACAATGCTCCGACCAACTGAGCCACACCAGCCAGGGCAATGTATATCACTTTTAAGATTTATAATAGTTGAAGAACCTAAAGCTTACTATAAAATTCTCTATGACCATTTATGTGTGTGTGCATTTTTCTATCAGGATTATTAGTAGCTCCGGGGATGCAGATATATGAAGAAAGATTTAAAAGCCTCCTCTGACTGACATGGCATACTCTGAGTTTGTTTGGTCAGGCCTACACCTGGTGTTGCAGGAATTTTTGTGTTCCTCTATATGTACTTAGCATCTCTAATTCAACATTTCAGTGTATGTGGTTGAGGTCTAGGTATAAGATAAATGAAAGCATCCCTTCCTTGGACAAGGCTCTCAGCTGACAACCTTACATACAAAAACAGTGTGGGAAGTAGGAACTATGCATTGTGTGAAATGCAACAGCACAATTGGACCACGTGCTATCAGAACAACCAAGAAAAATAGGTAACTAGTGTATATTTATTTCATAGAAAGGTGGGCGTCATTCACTCCCATAACTTTATCAACATAACTAACACGTAGATGCTTGAATACAAAATACCTGCATATTTACAAAGCTGAATTGACACTGTTCTTTGAATTAACCTTCTGTCTTCTGCTGTTTAAACAGTAGAAATCATTTCTTAAATATCATTCATAAAATTTAAGGTTTAAAATATTTTCATCTTATTATCTGTTACATTTGAAACATATAGTTATATAAAATTTATTAGTTTTCTTAATGCTAAAGAATAAGGTTGGAGATAAAATAATAATTGGCTTGAACATATACATCATATGTAAATTGGAACTGATTTTCTTTTCTGGAAATTTATAACACTTGATACAAAAATTAGTCAAATGAAATCCTCACTCAGGAATTAGAAGTTCCTCAGTTTCTATAGTTTACATTATGCTTTTAACTTCTTCCTCTCCACTTTAAGAGGAAAAACAAACAGCAAAAGCTTCCAGACTAAATGCAACACATCAGTCTGTATTTTTAGATTTGTATTTTATACCTTTCCCTGTTAAGAAAAGATAGTATACAACTTGCTCTAAATCAACCAGCTCAACTTTTGCTAGCACAACAAAAGTAAATACAGTGATAAATAATGAAATAGATCCACAAAATTTAGCACTGTCAGTTCAGTCTTTGCTACAAGTTATACTATTCATAATTCTTACCACGCATAAGTAAACTTACATGAAGTAAAAAAAAAAAAAATGGAGTATTCAAAAGTGCATTAGAATTATGAAACCCTCAAAACACCAAAACACAATTACATATTTCCCCCTTCAGGCCAACATCTAGAAATTCTATCTAGGAATACAAGAGACATTTAATAAAATGTCTGTAGAATAATAAAAATGATGAGGATGATGATAGTGATAATGACAGCCAAGATTTACTGGGCATTTAACTTGTAATAAATCGTACTGCTAAATATTTTATATTTAAGCCTGACAACAATTCTAAGAGCTATTAAGAACAATCCTAATTCTATCTGACTCCAAAGCTCTGAACCACTCAGTTGTAAAAGAAAAATATCACTGTTAAAGGCTAGGATTTAGAAAAGTTTTTGTTGACAGAATTTTAAAAGAAACATATTCAAGTGCATTTAATTTGTTTCAATATATAACCATGTATACATTAAAACTACAGGAAATATCCCATCTTAAAAGAGAACCTGATTTTAATACCATTACACCATTAACAGATTTTAAAATATTTTCCTAGGAGATGTTGTAACTAAAATTATTTCGCATCATGTAAGTGAGATAACCTTCTCTACAAAAGGACAATCCCAAACATTTAAATTCAATTATTTTTATTGTAACACAAGTGATTTCTTAAAAAGAAGCCAGAGCTCTAAAGTCAGAAAAGGTAAAGAAGTCATAACTAAGTCATCACAAATTTTATTGAAATAATTCCAAAATCACAGCAGTGTAACAATATGTTCTTCAGTATTAGTATTTTAGATTTTGGAAAAATCCAACTGTTAGTGGGAATACACTGACAATTGCACAAAGATCCAAACTAAATATGGACTTACATTACTTGTTTGCTGATGTTATTTTTTAAAAATTCCTAATGTAATCATACCTTGGCAAAAAATACGGTGAGGTGAGTTTCACTGCCAACAATCCAAATAGGAAATTTTGGAGATTTCAAGTAAGAACCAACCTAGAACAAATGTAGCAAAATAAACAAACAAATGAAAATTTTATACTGTCTGTTAGATATGTGCCCATGAATATTTAAAATGTAACTAGTGTCCAATTCATATTTAAATGAAATAATGTTGTGCTAGAATGCGTTATCCATAAAGGCCAAATGCTAAATATAAAATGAAAACACATTCACAAAAACTAATACATGAATGTTCATAGCAGTATTACTCATAATAGTCAAAAAATGGAAAATCCATTAAGTGATAAATACATAAAAACTACTGAATTATATACTTTACAATAGTAAATTTTATGATATGTGAATTATATATCTATTCTTCAAAAGGTCAAAAGCACTGAATCACCTTCCTTGTTCATGTGTGTATACATATAGACAGAGAGAGAGATGAAGGGGAAGAGCAGGAGAGAAATACCTTTTATTTGTATTAGTTGTTTGCATGGAAAAAGACATGCAAGTTATGATTATCACAACAGTTTTATTAATTCAAAAGAATGTCCCAATGGCACAGTGCACTTAGGTATAATCTCACAAGTGCTCAGATTGCCAGCCTTCATTATTTACACAATTCTTGTAGTCTACTTGCTATATACTCAAGCACACTTCGACAGAGTTCTTTATAAACCTACTTTTGCTCACCCTGTATGGTCAAAATGATATGAAAATGTTAATTTCACTTCTAAAGGGCAATATGCTACGCCACCCGTAGGGAAATGCTCAGATACACAAAACTTTTACAAACACAAATATTTCCTTAATTCCACTTCTCTAAACACCTGGCATAAAGTAAACATACATAGATTTTGATAACAATACCTACAGTATATACATATGAAGAGCACAGTGTAATAAAGTTTATTTTTTTTAAAATGCCACCTTGACTCAGTTTTGAGGCCCTGGCTTGAGGCCGGTCAGTTCCCTTAACAAGGCTGCTGAGTAAGCCTGCCCCCGGCCCCTCTCCTTAGAGGTCTCTCCCACTCCGGGCCACTAGGCATTGCCTGCATGGCCCAGGAGCTGGTACCCCACAACAAGGGACAGCCAGCCCTTATGCAAAAGAGTTCATGGAAACTATTCAAATTAGCCAAGCCACCCTGAGCCCATGAAACCTAGCTGATTCCAGGCAGGGCCACCCATTCCCATACATAAGTTGTCCCCTAGGGTGGCAGCTTGCTGGTGGCCTGGTCCCAGGTGTAACCCTGGGTGGCCCTGCCTGGAGGCCCTCTCTGGTTGGGAGCTGTCAGTAACTAGCAGTTCTGCCTTTCCTCTAGCCAAGTGTTGGTATGCTGTGTCTGCCACAAAAGGAATCTTCAAATCTTATCAAACAGCACAGTTGTTGCTAGAATCTGGAGCAACATGTTAACAGGGAAACATGCAGCAGCTGTGACTTTCTACTACGATTCTGGGGGAACAGACATTCCTCTGTTGTACCTCACAGATAGAGAAAAGCAAAAGCACACATTTAGAAAAGCTTACGATTATGGTTGAATTTTCCACTCATCCATGCAACAAATATTTATTGAGCACCTACTATGTACCAAGAAACAATGTGACCAATTACCTTCAAAGCATCTATATTCCATTAGGGATGACAACAGAAAAACACATTTGAGATTATAAAAATAAAATAAGTAAACAAGAAAGATCATTATAGAGTGATTGTTCCTACGAAATAACATTGGAAATTGTCACTGGGGGCATGGTCAAGGAAAGGGCCTTTGAGGCACATTTGAAGTAGGACCTGAAGGGGAGAGTAGACTATTCCTGGCAGAAATGATAGCAAGTAGGAAGGCCTATCAGACTGGAAAGGGCAAGGTGTGTTTAAGAAACGACAGGAGACCAGCATGGCTGGAGTGCAGCAATGGAGAGAGTGATGCTGATCTGGAAGGACAGGCAAGTTCCAGATTGTCAGGGCCCTACAGGCCACACGGTGAAAATATCAAAGTAAACATTGCCATACTCTCATCTCCTGCAACACACACATATATTCATGCCCCCACACATACACTTCTTAAAAAACAGCTTTATTAAAATATCACTGACATATAGAAGTTGTATATACTAAAGGTGTAGAACTTAATGTTTTGATATATGTATATATTAAAGATCACTACCATCAAGCGAATTACCATATCCATCACCTCTATATAGTTATCACTTTTTCTGTGTGCACACACACATTTTTAGAATATATAAATATATATATATTTCTGTGTGCACATGTGTGTGCATGTGTTAGAAGAGAATGCAGCTTGATTCTATAATTTTCAGGCTGACTCAATAGTTTTAGCTTGTATAATTAAAGTCACTAAAAAGAAGAGTTGCTACTGTTCAACATTATGCTCATTGCCAATGAATAAGTGCAGGATGAAGCCTATTTGATTTTCATACCATATCACCCCTGTCCAAGTGTTGTCATGAAAGAGGAATGCTATCTGCTTAAAAGAGGGAAGAGAGGGGAGGGAGGGAGGGAGGGCAGACGGACTGAGGGAGCAAGGGAAGGAGGCAGTGTGGGCACAAGACACTGTTACTGTTGTTAAAACTAATCGCCACCACCAGAACCACTGCCATGGAACCACCATTCTATCAATAAAATGGAAAAGAAAAGTAGGTTTTCTTTCCTCCTCCAAAATGAGGACATGTTAAGTGCAAATCATTAATGATTTAAACCCCATTTAAAACTATTTGGAATATCCAATAGTTAATTCGGATTGTGTAGGAAAGTAATGAAATATATAACAATAAATGAGAGTTTCTAAACTTAGCACATGTGTTAAAGAGTTTAATGCTGTTAAATGCCTGGAGTTCCCTTTTTAGTGTGAAATCATTTTTCAGATGGGACAGACAAAAGTCAGAATTTCAGGCACTTAGCAGATTCTTTTTCTTTGCCTGATAAAGCATTACCAGTTGTTTCAGTGAAGCATAACGTTAGTTGGTGAGGAAGAAACAGAACATTCCTTTCCCTCACTTTACCAAAAAATATACTTATATTCAACAATAAATGTCCCTATTTTCCTAATTATTTTGTACTGGGTTCTTCCTCCCAGCCCTCAAAAAGGAACAAACCTCACAAATGGGGAATTCAGCCTGATCAGCCAGCTCAACTCTACCTTTGATAAGCCTGTCACTTTAGGAAGGGAGACCAGGAAGAATCTGAAGGGAGTCTGTAAGAACAGCAGTAAGCTATGTTACCACAGAAGAAAAATACTACCCACAGCAGTGAACACATGAATAAAAACCATTCAAAGTACCTTAAAAATCAACTTACCTTACAGTATCTTAAAGCTTCCATTAATGTTAAGAATCCTACAGCTGCTTGTTCATGTATACCAAGAAGTTCTGAAAAAAAAAAAAAGTAGCATTGTATTAGTACACATAAACCTGAAAAGTACTTGTATGTAAATATGTGTGTATACTCATCGTATAATATATATATTCTATTCTAAAACTTTTACTTTTAGCCAAAACAATACTTAAAACCTAGCACATATTTATTGTTAAGAATTTATATCAAGTCGTCGTTATAGTACTACTCATTATAAAATACCATTAGATCCTTTGTGATACTTCAGTATCAAATACCATTGTGATACTTCAGATGTACATTAAATGTATTTATAAGGCCTAGCCAGGTGGCTCAGCTGGTTTGAGCACTGTCCCATAAACCAAAAGGTTGCAGGTTTGATTCCCTGTCAGAGCACATTCCCAGGTTGTGGGTTTGACCCCCAGTAGGGGTGCATACAGAAGGCAACTGATCGATGTTTCTTTCTCACATCAATGTTTCTCTTTCCTACTCTCTCCTTCCCCCTTTTTCTCTCTAAAATCAACAAACATATTCTCAGGTGAGGATTTAAAAAAATGTATTTATGAAACTTTATATTCAGTGTTAACTTTTTTAATGGAGGCATTTTTGCTTTGAAACTAAGGAATTATTGTCAAAAATAAACAAGGAAAGGTACTTTATCATATCCATGCAAAACAACTAATTAAATTGACTTTGGTTTAGAAAAACAAATGGATATAATGATGATTTATAAAATTTATTGTTGGGTAGCAGTGAACTTGCATAATACTTGAGACATGGACAGTTGGTAACATCCTTCTCTCCTGCAAATAAACCTAGGCAGTGTGCTTAAGACTAGGGAAATAAAGAAGAATAAAACACAGTACCTGCCTTACAAAGGCTATTAACTTATCAAGGAAGACAGATTAAAAAAAATGTGTATTCTCTCTCTATTTATACAAACACACCCACACTTACAGCATATAAGATCATCAGCTAACTGTTACAGAAGTGGTAACACCTGAGATGAATCTTTAAGTATATGTAGGAATTTTCCAGGTCAAGAATAGGATAAGAAGAAAATTCAAGGCAGAGAAAACTGCAAAGAGATATGAAAAATCAATATATTTAAGGGGTGAAAAATTATCAAAGCTTCCTTAAAGTTTTCTGGCCTAGAAATCTGAAGAGTGGTGATTAATTAAAGGAAAGGATGAAGGAGGAGCAGGTTCTGGAGTGATATGAAGGGAGAACATGAGCTTGGCTTTACATGCACTGAGACTGAGGGACCTTTAGGACTTCTGCCTGGAGGCGGATACTCAGCTGGAAGCGAGGCTCGGGAGCACAGGGAGAGAGGCCAGGGCCGGACACACAGTGCCAGGAACCATGAGCACAGAGGGGAGGGCTGACCTCCTGGGTGTGGGTCAGAAAGAACACAGCAGAGAGAGTGAAGAGGTAAGAGGCTGTTTCACAACAGGGTTGGAATTGTGATGATACTGAAGTCTTCATAGACTGCAGCTCTCAGCTAGTGTACATTAAATAGAACTATAATAATAATTGGGTCTATAAGTATTTCTAATAAGAAATATTTTCTAGTTAAAAAGTACAGCTATTGAAAACACAATGTATATATAACTTTGCATCCTTCAACTACCTGGTCACCTTTGTCTTTTTTTTTCCTATTACGAAATTATGTTTTTCTTGTCAATTAATGTAGTATCAACTCATTCATTTTTGTTGTAAATATTTTACTATGTATCCTTAAATACAACATCCAGATGGTATAAGCCAAACACTGGTAGTTTAACCTTTAGGACTATAAATTCAAAATTAAAAGGAAGCACATATGCATATGGTTTATATTTCTTCATAAGCTTCTTATAGGCACAGAGGAGGTACAGCAGTAGTTCTCAAATTGTAGTTTTGGATTCCTAGGGATCCATAATACCCTTTGAGAGACTATAAGAAATTAAAATGATTTTCATAAAAAGCCATTAGTTGCCTTTTTCATTCTTACACTTTCATAAGAATGTGGAGTGAAATTTTCCAGAGACTAAATGATACGCTATAGTCCAGCAAATTAAATCTATAAACAAATATGAGAATCCAGCTCTCTACTAGTAACCTAGACATTAAAGGGATTTAAAAAATTTAAAACAAAGTAACTCTTCTTACTATTGGGTTGGACAAAAAGTTTTTGGTTTTCTTCTGTAAGGTGGCTCCAGTAGTGCTCAGCTGTCTTTAACTTCATTCAAACAATTTTGTTAGACTGTATTGTGACAGCTGTCATATCAGCATGCATTTTTTAAAAACATAAAAATTGGTGAATTTTTATGTAGCCATTTTAATATTGAAGATGGAAGAAAATACTCAACATTTTTGGTATCTTATGCTTTATTATTTCAAGAAACGTAAAAACACAACTGAAATAAAAAAAAAAAGATTTGTGCAGTGTATGGAGAAGGTGCTGTGACTGATCGAATGAGTCAAAAGTGGTTTGTGCAGTTCTGTGCTGGAGATTTCTCACTGGACGATGTTCCATGGCAGGGTAAACCAGTTGAAGTTAAGAGAGAATAAATCAAGAAATTCACTGAGAGCAATTAACTTTAAACAACACAGGAAATAGCTGATATACTCAAAATATCCAAACCAATAAAGTTATCGGTAAAAATGAAAAATGTGTCATTTATTTTACTGAAAAAAAAAAAAGAAACAGATTTTTTGGCTAACCCAATTTTTTTTTTGTTTTGGAAAATAGTTATTAGATAAAAATTTATATTAATAAGTATTGGGTGTATTATTGTTATTTTAAAATGAATTTAAAAACCTTTTTATATTTCTGGTTTCTTTTTAAATTGATTTTTTAGACAGAGAGAAACATCGATTTATTGTTTCATTTTTTTGTGCATTCATTGGTTGCTTCTTGAATGTGCTCTAACCAGATGGAACTCAAAACCCTGGCCTATTGGGAGGACACACTAACCAACTGGGCTACCTGGCCAGGGCTTAAATGTCTCAGTCTTCATTTCTAACAGAAACACTGATCATTATTTGCTTATGACTCACATTAGCTAAAGCTCTTTAGGATGCTCATTAATTTTTAAGAATGTAAAGGGCATGGCACCAACAAATTTGAGAATCACGGGATTATAGCATTCAAAGGAAAAAGAGAGAGTTGAGGTGAGCAGCCCAAATACATTGAGATGGTACTATATAGTCTTGCAAATTTTTCCCTCCTTGCCTTCTGAAATGTAAGCTGCACTAAATGTTTTCGAGCTCAAAAAAAGAGCACATATGTTAGAAATATCTTCACACTTTAATTTCTAAAATCAGTTACCACCACCTAGTGTTATGATTAGCTACTACATCATCTTTTTCCTTGGAATTTTAAACAAATGTCTGGAATAGTGTATTTATAATGTCATGATATGCAATACAACAAAGTAGCTGTTCATAATTCTTGAGTAATAAATTATTCATATTAGGTCAGCAATCACATGCTTAAGCATGTAATCTAGATGGTATTATTCTTAAAATGTATTAATCCTGTTTCCTTAAGCAGAATCTATACTTAAGATTTGCATTGCTTTTTTTTTGTTTTGTTTTTTTGTTTTTCTTTCTTTTCTTTCTTTCTTTCTTCTTTCTCTCTTTCCTTCCTTCCTTCCTTCCTTCCTTCCTTCCCCTCCCCTTCCCCTCCCCCCTTCCTTCTCTTTCTTTCTTTCTTTCTTTCTTTCTTTCTTTCTTTCTTTCTTTCTTTCTTTCTTTCTTAATACATTTGTCTCTGCCTCCCCCCCACCACTTTCCCTTGCCCCTTCCCTCCTCCCCTCCCTCAGCTCTTCCCCTTTGGTTTTGTCCATGAGTCCTTGCTATATGTTCCTTGACTTTCCCCTTCCCTTCCCTTTCCCTGCCCGCCCCTCCCTCCTTCCCTCTTGTCTCTGTTGATTTCTTTTCCTTTCAGTGTTGCTGGTCATATTTTCCTTGCATCTTTGTATTGTTGGTTAGGTTCCGCTTATAGGTGAGATCATATGGTATTTGTCTTTCGCCCCCTGACTTATTTTGCTTAGCATAATGCTCTCCAGTTCCATCCATGCTGTCGCGAAGTTTTGTAGTTCTTTTTTCCTTTCTGCTGCGTAGTATTCCATTGTGTATAGGTACCATAATTTTTTGATCCAATCATCTACTGATGGACACTTAGGTTGCTTCCAACACTTGGCTATTGTAAATTGTGCTGCTATGAACATTGAGGTACATAGGTTCTTTTGTATTGGCGTTTTGGTGTTCTTAGGGTATATTCCCAGCAGGGGAATCACTGGATCAAAAGGCAGTTCCATTTTCAGCTTTTTGAGGAAACTTCACACCGCCTTCCAACTACAAAGTCACTATACTCAAAACAATTTGGTACTGGCACAAGAACAGACCCATAGACCAGTGGAACAGAATAGAAAGCCCAGAAATAAGCCCAGGTCTCTATGGGCATCTAATATCTGACAAAGGGGGCAGAAGCATAAAATGGAGCCATAATAGCCTCTTCAACAAATGGTGTTGGGAGAGCTGGACGGCTACATGCAAAAAAATTGAAATTGGATCATCAGCTGACACCACACACAAAAATAAACTCAAGATGGATAAAAGACTTAAATATAAGTCACAACACCATCAAAGTCCTAGAGGAGAACATTGGCAGGAAACTCTCAGATATCCCACGCAGCAATTTTTTCACTGATATGTCTCCTAAAGCAAGGGACATAAAGGAAAGAATAAACAAGTGGGACCTCATCAAAATAAGAAGCTTCAGCACAGCAAAATGAAAAGGGAGCCAACCATATGGGAAAATATATTCGCTAATGATACATCAGATAGAGGTTTGATCTCCAAGATATTTAAAGAACTCACTCGACTCCACTCCAAAAAGACAAACGATCCAATCAAAAAATGGGCAAAGGACCTGGGCAGACGCTTTTCCAAGGAGGAGATACAGAGGGCCCAGAGACATTTGAAAGGATGCTCAGCATCACTAGCCATCAGAGAAATGCAGATCAAAACCACCATGAGGTACCAC